TAGTTTAGGGCAAGAAAATGAATTTACAGCGAGCGTTCGCTTCTGCTGCGCTGGAGAAGCGACTTTGCCTTTAAATGGAGCGATGACGTCAGGGGAGGCAATCCGTGGCAGGGGGGCAGAATTGAGGGACGAGGGGCTTGAACTTGCTTAGGGAAGTTTGTTTGGGAAGCCCCCCTTGTTTGTTAGAGGGGACGGGCGTATGACATTAAGACTTTGTTTTATTTTGCTTTTATTTTCTTCAACCTACTGATCCACACTCCAGTCCAGTAGGTGGCGGTAATGCACCTGTATGCTGGGCGCCATCAGCTTTTAACTACTAAAAGAAGACGATGAAGAAGAGCATGAGTGATAAGTAACGCGTGCGAACTACTTAGCTTTTCATCAGCTTTCTCTAAAGAACGGAGGGCTGCTTTATCTTGCTCTGGACGCATGTTGGTAAGGTTCTTAAAATTAGGTGTAATTTGCAACTTATTTCCCATCATTCAAATGTGACAAAATATAGAAGTTTGAAATAATTTTTCGCTTGTGAGTGGCGTTTCAAAATAGTTTATTTGTGTATTCAGTTCATTTTGGACGTTATATCGCTAAAATGTTTCAATGAATTGTTTAATAATGATTAGTTGGTTGAATGAACATAGGACTAAACTATTTCGGCTTTCACTACATCGTGAGAAAAGCATTTTTTCCGTTGTGCTACCTCATTATGGTTTTTCTCTATCGCTGGCTTTTTGCTTTCATAATCGGGTTTTCATGCGGTTGTTACTACGTTGTCATTACATGCCTTCAAAAGTTATTTTTAGCAGCTGACATCCCACTTTATGCTTGATGGGTCAATTGCAACCAACTGAATGTACGCTTTACGGGCCCCCTAGTAAAATACATATTTTACTCTATCCAGGCTAGTTTTCAAAATCAACCATGTTTTGTTTTAATTTTACAAAATTATTAAATATTTTACAGCTCTAGTATTTTTATATTTAATAACCACAGACTTTTTTGACATGAACCTGGATACGAGAGCTTCGCGAGGGCTCCTGTAAAGTGTACCACAACCGAAAGTACAGTATGGGGCTATTATTGTAGCAAAATTATTTGTAAATGTGTTGGAGAGTGTGACTGTATTTCAATGTGTGTGTGCGTAATCAGATTTGTAAATGTGTAAAAGAATGTGTAAATGCGTACTGAGATTTGAGAATGTGTACAGAGAAACTGTAAATGTGTTTTCTGTGTGCATAATCAGATTCGTAAACCTGTAATAGAATCTCTAAATATGTAATGAGATTTGCAATTATACTGAGATTTGTACGTGTACAGACAAATCTGTAAATGCGTGCATAGGTATCAATAACTAAAACTAAGTATTTTGCTCCAAGAGCTCTAAAAACCGACAAGTCATCAGTTACAACTCAGGCGGGCCTCTCAGTCGGCTGCCTTTTTACAAGTGACTTTTGCTAGACTTCTGCCGTGGCAGATCTACATGTCTGTGTGGAGGTTTTGAGGGCTTAGGACTTAGCGCTGTCCCACTCGCAAGCTTTTGAGGGCCTAAGTGTGGAATGCCATCAGGGTATAAACCGTGAGACAGAATACCTCACAACACGGAATGCTGAATGATATATGTCTGAATTATATGTCTGACTTGGAACAAATTAAGTTAAAATGAGCAAAGTAGTCAGGGCCATAATAGGACTGATTTTTTAACTGGGATTTCTGACACTATATGTTTTGATTAACATAACCATTATCTAGGCTATTGAACGCTCATTCTTACCAGCAATTTTGCGCTCAGACATACACTCACCTAAAGGATTATTAGGAACACCATACTAATACGGTGTTTGACCCCCTTTCGCCTTCAGAACTGCCTTAATTCTACATGGCATTGATTCAACAAGGGGCTAAAAGCATTCTTTAGAAATGTTGATAGGATAGCATCTTGCAGTTGATGGAGATTTGTGGGATGCACAT